TTTTTTTTTTTTTTTTTTTCAATGGCAAGGGTTCAGGATGGTTGAGGGATTAGACGTAAGCTACCGGGCGATTTCATGACCTTTTTGTACTGATAGGCCATTAAATACTGGCGTGGAGCCGGTAGATAGACATAATGGAACGCTATTTAGTCCGTATTAGAAAAGCATACCCCGAACGATAACTAGCTCATGCAAGGAAGGATGCCATTCACATCTCAACTCATGGAGATTGCAGAATTTTAGGTTTACCCATCAATATTTGGGTATCAGTGCTACAGGTACTGTGAGGGGAATGGGGGGGCCACCTGTATAGTGCACTACAGGTAAGTTACCACACTGGTAGTGAATTAGCTGGGGGGGGGGGTTTAATGCCGCTGGATGGCGCATTACATGTATTTTGTTAGGATTGTGAGTATCGGTATTGTATCTAGGTACTAGTGCGAGTAGGGTTACGAAGATAAAGATAAATTACCATAACATATGCTAGGAGGGTTACAGTAAGTCCGAATCTCTTTCATAGCTGCGGAAAGAGCGATATTATACGAGGGGACCAGCGGTAGGTGGTTGTGCACTGTACTCGAGTACCGTACGAGTACAAAGGAGAATCCCGGTATGATACTGCACTGGGACAAGGGTTGCGAGGGTACGGCCCGAGAGGGAGCTTAAGTTACAGAGAGCACGGACGCGATTGGCCGACAGAAAGTTCCATATGAAAAGGCGCAACATGCAAGCCATTCCTCTCGCTTGTTCCCCCGGACCCACCGAGTCTGGCTGAAAAAAGCCATCGTCTTTTAGTGGGGTTGGGAACCTTGCTCCACGATAAGGTAGATCTGATAAATCCTTCCATCGGGAGTATAGCTGAGCACAGTACTAAGCGGAAGTACGAGTGGCAAACAACGCGTTACCTTCTCGCTTTATCCAGGCAAGTGCTTTGGATTCCTCGTACTACCACTGGACCTCTGCCACCAGCTTACTACCATACTGGTACTGGTACTCCTCACACCAGGCGAACAGGCGGGGCCAACATGACCACCTTACAACAGCTGCAGACGACGTGTCTGAGCCTTCTCTTCTCAACACAAGCACACCCCGTAGGATTTGCTAAATTATCTATAAAGCCTGAGACCAGCTTATCCAGCGAGGAAGAGGAGCACCTCTTAGGCCTCTATGACAAGCTCGAGAAGGTATGTCTCGAAAGGCGTATACTCGAAGCCGAGATGTCGGGGGTTGGGATTGAAGGTGGTTTTTCCTAACCCCCCCCCTTTTCTTTTCTTTTTCCCCCCTCTTTCTTCGCTTCTTTCTTACACTCCCCGCTCCCCCTCCCCTCCCTTCCACACATACCCAAGCATTCAATGATTGGCTCCATGTCTAACCAGCGTTTGGGATCATGCAAGACGCAGATGACGACCTCTCGATCGAGGAGCAACTCCGCATCGCGGAAGCGGAGCTGTTGGGGAGTAAGGCGAATTCAGTGATGAAAGGAAAAATCGTTGAGACGACATTGGCTACACAGCCAGTGCTTCGAGCGGTCCACTTGAGCTCTAGAAGCACCCCAAAGGAACGGTAGCACCCTCTCTTCCCTTTTACTACTACTGCAACAAATATGACTCCCACCAACATTGCGCTTTGGGCTGAATTAAATTCAATCCACTAGTGCTTTATCACCGCTTATCCTCCGCCGGGACGTCCTCTCAGTCACTCACGCCAACCTCTCCCACGTGCTCGGCGCCAGTCTAGAGACACTGTCGAAGCTGCAAGCATCTAACAAGAATGCTCAGGTCCTCAACAGGCAATTGACTGCGAGACTTCTCACACTCACAGAGAAGAAGAAGAAGGCGAGACAAGCAGTGGCACGGGACGATCAGGGATACAGAGCTGCTGAGGAGGCGCTCCGGGAAGCGAAGATTAAGTGGGAAGTCATGAGAAACACCCTGCAGGCGATTATAGTGGGGAGTGGGGTGGACTGGGTTGGCGATAAGAAGCTTAGGGATACGGTTCTGTCCTGCGGCGAAGAGCTGGAATTGACTTGATCCTTCCTTCCTTTTTTCATTTTTTTCACTGTTTTCTCTGCTTCGTGACTTGGAGGTTATTTAGGCATGTAATATATCCGCGGCTATCGCTCCGTGCTACACAGCTCAACCTGCGCTACTGCATCCTGATGACGTGCAGGAGGTTTTCCAGCGGTGGAGCCCTTAGCCAGGAACACGGACATAAAGGGAGGCTAGCGTTTAGAAGGCGCAGAAGCCGTATTTTAATCATTTCATGTACTCGAGTACCTTGCGTTTTTCTTTTCTTTTCTCCCCCTCTCCTTCCTTTCGACAAGCACGACTGTATGATAGGATAACACATCCAATCCAATTAGGAAGGTTTCCCCAATGTAGCATACCGGTATCATGCTCAAAAAAAGAGTTAAGGATTACAAAGAACAATTATTCCCCCACCTATATATTTGCTACACCTCACTACAAACACTATAATCTCTCTTTGAACCTCTCACACCCAATCCGCGGCACCATGTTCCTTAGACAACTCGTACGGTGCAATGCACACTACGAGTAATCACGAATGCACATGCCGTACCTGACCCTCTGGCCAACCAACCAACAGTGAATATCTGCTACGGTACGGTACTGTGCCTCGTAAAGACGCAAAAGGGAAAGACCTTTCTAGAGGGCTCTGTGGCCATGCAATGCACGAGCCCAGTAGTGTAGTGTAGTGCACCGGTACTATTGTGCAAAGCATTCGAGCATCACAATTCAGTCGGTGCACAGCAAGGTACGATCTTGGTGACAAAAAGAAATGGACACCCCATCGGGGTTTTCCCATAGTAAAAAAGTCTACTAGTTTTTTTTTTTTTTCAGCCAACCATCATCACAACAAAAAGTGGACAACAAACCTTAGGGGGTATTTGACTGCGCGATTATGGTTAAATTTTGAAATCGTGATTTGAGATCACGTTCTTGGCGATTATAACTATTATAAGTTAGGTTATCACTAGCCAATCCAAGTAGGTACGGGATTAATAATAGCGAGAGTGCTAGCAGTATTCTAAGTATCATGTTACAAATTGACCATCTTGGCAATGTTTTTGGGTGCTCTTTTTCGTATGATACTAGAGAAACCCAGGCACACCCATAACTACGTATCTAAAAAAAAATCCCTGATTTTTCTTCTTGTTCCAATGTCATGATGGTATAATAAGTAAAAGTGGGCGGGCGTTTTGTATGGGAAAAACCAGACGGGTCCACCAAGTTGGGTACTTGTACTAATTAGCATAGCGCTCGAGTACCGGATAATGATAATACGGCAATATTTTCAAGATTCAAAACTGCAGAGCTCTGTGATTAAAAAAAATTAATTTTTTTTTTTTTTTAAAAAAAAAGTGTCAGTAACGCAGTTGCCGCCATAATTGCAATGCGTGTGATCGTTGGGATGGGATACGACATGACACTGATGCACTAGGTACTGTACCGTGATCGATGGCATGCCACAGCCTACGGTACGACAGGGGATTGTGCTACGGTACGGGGAATGGCCGGGTCGATGCGGTAGAGTACTAACGGCAAGTTCCTAGTTACGGTAAAGTTATGGGGAGGAGGGGGTTGACATTTTAATTTAGTCATTGGGAAAAGGTACCGGCGCACTGTACTACACTGCAACTGTACTCGAGTACTGTGATCCTGCAGCCAGATTGAAAGGTGGAAAAAGTTCCAGCTTTAACCCTGTCACGCTAGTATAGTTTTTGCGTTTTCAAAGTTAAAAATGTGGAAAAAAGAACTTGCGTACCTTGCTGTTTCATGAAAGTTCAGCACACCCAGGAAATGCTGACTTGCTATTTCTTTTCCTTACCATACTGTACTTTCCCTTCCGGTAGACAGGAAGGATCCAGACATTCTAAACTGCCGTGAAATTCTATTTAACCAAACTTTTACCAGAACCTAGAAACAATATGTGAGGCAAAAAGGAAAATTTTAAAAAAAAATTGAAGAAAATTCTTAAAATATAATAGCATGCTCTGTAAGTGACCATCCATATTCTCTGGTAAAAAAAAATCTCACAACCTTGACTTTTTGTTAATGAATAGAGAACTTTTCTTTTTTTTTGGCTAATATCTATCATAGTATAAAATCCATTGTAGCCTCTACACTTTACCAGTAACCTTCAGTTTACCTTCATGCATTCAAATATGCTATGATACCCAAAATGTGAGAACACCATTAGCTAACACCATAAAGTAGCCTAATGCAACTTTCGGTATTTACTCATTGCCGAAAGGTCATTTTTTAACTTTGAAAATCCTTAATGGGTGGGCCTGAAATTACTCGAGTACCGTACAGTGCTTTTATCTCATAAGTTACCGGGGGGGAGGGGCGTACGAGTTACGGCGGTGTATGTAGGAGTACCATACGGTCGAGTACCGGCACCGTACTTGCTGTATGTAGGGTGCTTTCAAGGCTTGATGGTGGCGTATTATGGAAGGCAGTAGACTATGCACGGCACTGCACTCGACTACGGTGCGACACTGTGGGGTTGGGTTTTCCGTTTGGAATGGACCAATAACGGTGTGCCGGTGTTGGGTTCTTGGCGACGGCTGTCTCACCGCAAGACCAGAGGGTAATCAGTTGTCGGTGCCGGGTGTGTAAAGACTTGAATGCGATGCCCGGATCAAAGGGGAAAAAAGTAAATAATTCAACTTCTCGGGTACTTGGGTGTGGAGGCAAGTGGTGAGACGGGCAGGGGTATTGGTGATCCGAGAGCATATCTCTGAGCAACACTAATGGCAGTAAAGCAGCGGGATTTCTCAGGCTTGATGGTACCAGTACTTTTCCGAGTGAAGATGCACTCACAACAGGTTCTTGAGTTGGTACTGCTCTATAGATTTTCTCGCTATACATATGATAGATATGTTCTCTGGTTATTCGTGCTTTTGTCCACATCATTATTAACCTCCGTGCCCAAGTAATAGTAGGGAAGCAAGAGGATAGGAAAAAAAAAGAATTTGGTTCCAGAGGGGGTCGAACCCTCGACCTTGGCGTTAACATCTGGATGATATTAGCACCACGCGCTAACCAACTGAGCCATGGAACCGTTGTAGATTTGGACAGAAATAATATATAAGAGCCTATAAGAATCTTAGGAAAGGCGGAAGGATGATATTACTACTACTCTAGATAGGTTACTAAACGTTAGGCCCCGTTGCCCACCGCCCCACCGCCCCGCCGAACGCCGTAAACGAGCAACCACGTATTAATCACTGGGAGATGAGCGGGATTAAATGGACTTACTAGTCTCTAAATCACCGATTCGCCCTCCACCCTCCTTGCCCAAAGCCCCTAACACCGCTAAAAGAAAAAGGAGCAGGCCCCACAAACTCCCCACGCCACGTCCCCAAACTATGCATAAATCTCTTGCTAGAAATATAAACCAGTAAAAAACAGCTTACGACCCAGCCCCCTTTATCCCTTCCATTGGCTCTGCCAATCTCTCTACCGATGCCGGGAACGGCCGCTCAGCACTCCCAGACAACGTCCTCCTCCGCCGGCCCGTAACCGTAGTAAGCGTGGGCCGCGCTACGGTCGTGGTACTGATCTGCTCCACTTCCTCCCGTACAACGTCCTCCACTGTCTGCTCTGGGAATGGTGTGCCGGTTAGGGGCGCGAGGATCAGGTAGCGCCAGATGTAGAGTGCTGCGTCGTAGAGGAGGATCAGGATTGCTGGGGCCATGGTTAGAATTCCTAGGAATACCTGGTTTGAGATGTTGATTAGAGGTGGTGATGTAGTGGGTAGCTAAGGAAGCTTACGAAGGAACGTATGGCCCAAGTTTGAAGGATTCCTAAGATTTCTAGTGGGCCTATGTTTGGTAGAGACATGTTTCGGGTGCCTCGATGAGTTGTTACTTTCGTGGATCGGGAACGTGAGAGGGTGCGTGGGAGGGCACGTGGGAGGGCGCGTTGGGAATGGTGGTCGTTATGGAATGTGAGAGGAAGGAGGGAGGGGGCGGAGAAAGCGCGGTGGGTAAACGGGGGAATTCGTAATCGTCTACGGGTGGAATAGGTGCTTGCTCGGAATGATCGGAACGGAGGCTTGGGCCTTGGTGAGGCGAGGTGGCTTGGGTGGCCTGGGTGAAATGGTTACACAAGACATAAGGTTGATTGGTTTAGCTTGGCTTTGGGGAGTGAGATACTGGTTCTATGCCGGAGCCATCGGATCGTCATAATTTTGCTATTGTCTAGGTCGGTGTAGTAGCAATGAAACTTGAGACGTGTTTCTATTGTCGTAAGGTAGCACTGTACGTAAGGTTTACAGCTTGGTCTAAGCTTTGGCTCTGCAAGAGTGTAGCAGGGGCTTAGACTCGCAAGCTCAATTTGCGTTGCTCTATCGACACGGCTATCTTGGTGCCCGGGCCCAGGACGAAGGGCTCAGGACGAAGCTAAGATTACTCTAGGTGGATTGCACTTCTGTGAACAAAACCACTTGGTCGCTAAATAGCCAGTTTCCCCTGCTGAGGCCCAGGCCCACTTGTGCGAAAACGTCTCTGAATTCACCCTAGAAACATGGCTTCTGAGGTATTTTAAGAGGCTAAGGCAACTATACTAAGAGGGGTCAATCCAAAAGCCCCTACCAGTATCCTATGAGAGGTGAGTTCTCTTTCGTGATTGCTGTTATATATCTAATTCTAATAGTTACCCGGACACGTTCGGTTATTTTTTTCTTGTGTAACAATACTTTGATCCCCGGCACACTATCCGATATTCATGAACTCCTTGCGTATAAAAATGCGCTAGGGAGGTATGCAGATGGGTTGGGCTAGGTCTTGGGGCTTATATATATGATATAAGATTCCAAAGTTATAGAGAAGCCAAGAAAATGATTAATCACCTACGGAAGCGCTGATCACCAAGATCGAAAACTCTGGAGCTCGGAGGACTTGTTGTTCTCTATAAGCAAGCTCTTCAGAATGATACCTCTTAGTGACGTAATTGGGAAAAGGCATGCGCTGAAGCACGAGACTCGTTATCGCTATCTCTTTTTGTATTCCTCCTCTGAGTATTCTCCTGGACAGCCAGTAATTGGCCCTAACTTTCCTCTGACAGATAGAAAAGGGCGAATAAGTTACCCCGTCGAAAAATTTGTAAATTAGACTACTCAGCCAGTTCTTTTCCCTAATTTTGCGAATTTGGGACAAAAAAATGAGGATCGTTGATGGGGAGGAATGCCAAAGATATGCATCATGTCATGAGATATCACTCGCATATATTTCTCAGCCAAAAGTGGAGCTGTTTAGGGGATAGCGTCTCTGGTCTGGTTTCGTATAGCTTTACTGCGGGCTTCCTAAACTGTTAAGAATGACTGAAACTTGGCTGGTAGCACAGGACTGGCCTGTTGCCGTTAAGGGCCGACCAGGAGTCACAGTGCCGTGCAGGTCGGATGTTGGTGTGGTACTTCACATGCAAATATCTCTATTATACCAATTACTTGAGCCGGATTCACCCCGCCAGAACATTACTGACAGGGAGCCTTACCATTATGCGTTGGGAAACTCGGAGGCCTCCCTTCCTTGTACGCAGATTAAGTTTAGTGTTGATCAGAGAAAAAAAAACACCAAAATCTGAGGCCTATTGCACCATAACTTAGCTTGAGCACAAGTGCGCTACTTGGAGGAGTTGTGCACCATAGATCGATAAGTTGGGCTGAAATGAGTTTGCCCGTTTACCCCACGACCGAGACTTCTAGAAAAAAGCCCCACACGACCTGCCAGGGGCTCAAGAACTCTCTTTCGAAGATTTGGTTGTTTTTTTCCCTTAGTAATGCACAAAATCCTTGCGGATGCCAAGCCGAGCATAACTTAGTTATAAGCTCTGTGGCCACTAGAAAAAATAGCCGTGTGGAAAGCACCAAGCCGTTAGGTCGCTATTTGATTCTGGCAGGTCTAGCTTTAACGGATTTAGATACTACAACATGCACAAAGCACTGGTGCACATTGCGGTGCGCAATAGGGATTTCGAAATGATGAGATTGCTGCTTACCAGCGAGGGAATAGATCGAGCTTTTTGGGGGGGGGGGTAATCTGTCCCCACCATACCACAAGGGACTCTCCCCGGTGTACATAGTACCCCAGCTAGGGCATGACTAATTAGTGAGCCCTACTTTAGTGGACGAGAGGGTAGATTTCAACCTTCAGCCGGACTCCCCTTCACGCTAATTTATTGCGCAGTACGGGGTAGGAAAAGACTATGCGGCTTCCCTTAGCCTCCGAGCGTGTCGATATCAATCTTAGGACTACCCCTGACATCAGAACTCCTGGACGAGGCTATACTACGCTGCTTTGGGTGGTGCTCAGGGAGGGCGTGGCAATTGTGAGATAGTTCGTGACCTCTGAGAGGATCAAGGCTGATCAACTAGGGGGAGCTCTGAATTTCAGCGCTGGCGAAATTAGGTGGATTAGGAATTTTGAGATGGGCAGGTCTCAGCAGGGAAGAGCCAGTGCTGGGAAGAGATAGAAATCTCATTTAGGGCTCGGCTGTGTCGGGCCGCGGGCCTATTTCAAAGAAAGTTTCGTCGGAGGTAACTTATCAAGCCCTGTCTCAATAATATCTAGATTCCTATTGCCAAGTACGATACCGTAACTCGAATAAACGAAACTTATGTTAGGATTTTCGAGTTGCTCCTTCTACTAAGGTCTAATGTGTTTGCTCTTTTTTCTCCCCTCCACGAAGGAGATTCTTTACTGCACACCACATTGTCCATCTATTCGATTTCTTGCAGCGCTCTACCAACACTACCCCCACAACCAATCTCTCTTTTCTCTAAACTTTGTAAGAAACCGGCTTCCAAGTAACTGCTCCGATAGCCTCGGGTAACACGACCGCCCAAGCAGAAATATCGGCAGTTTGACCCTTCTCACGAGTGAGAAATGATGAACCTTGGCGTTCGGGACAGCTGATTCAGACATGGGTGGGCACGAATATGTCGGGTACACCTTAGCCACCAAACCCAAAACCTCATCCCCCAACCGTTCCGATTGGTCGGGTAAGCTTATACCTGTATTGGCCCTGCGGTTAAGGTCTCATATGCCCTGCTTTTGTAAAAAAAAAAAATCCCCAAATCCCCCAAATGCCACAGCACCCCCAGACCTCACCGCAAGCATATTATGTAAGTTTTGTTTGTAACCAATTTTAGGAATTAAATTTTTATTGTTGTGTCATACACACGATTTAAAATGCGAGGGGGGAATAATTTGCAATAAAGACAAGGGAGAGAAGTCTGAGCGCAGAATCCACAATCGATAAAGCTGTATAATCTATAATCCTGAGAGTAGTAGGCCTCGATAGCCTGAACTAGTCTGTCTCATTGCTTCCTAGTTATTAGAGGTTGGACATGATGGGCAATTGGTGCAATTCAAGTAACTGGCACCAGAAGAAGGTACAGTGACACCGTCTGAACATACCCTCAAGTGAATTAAGATCTCTGCCGTAGAAGCAAGTGTAAAACAGTGCCCCCTTGAACTTAACTATAAAAGCGGAAGTGAGGAAAAGCTTATTCCAGGTTTCTCAGTTGTGGCAGCTGGTCCACAATATTTGCTATCATATTGTGAGTGAGGTGGGTAGTAGGGGGGATTGGGTGGTGGTGGGGAGCGGTGAGACAGTGGGGTGGACCCTTTAGTCTGTAATATCTCCTCTCACTAGATGACTTAGGACATGGCTGTGTTAATCTTGTTAGCACGTAATCCTACCACTGTTTCGCTAGTACTCTAAGGAGGCTATGGTGGTGGGAAACCTAGTGCCAAGTATCCCATATAGGAGATACTGATATATTCCACCTGTGGGAGAGATAGTGGAACTCATTAAGAATTGGATGATATGGTCGATCACATATCGGTAAGTTAGATTTACTACCGTACCTCTAGACCCGTTCCGCCATCACTCTATCATCGCTCCCCAAACACACATTCTTTACCAGCTAACCCACCCCCTATACCAGCCTACATCTTTTCCCCCGCACAACCTACCCCTCCCCTTCTAGCCTTTTCCGCCCTTCACACCACCCCCTTAATAAAACTTTGAATCCCCTCATTGACCAAGCAACCC